TATAAAATTAATATTTAGTTTTGTCTTTCACTGTACATTGATTATGAGTACTAAAAATGTCTGATATTAAATATGCAACTCAATTTTTAATTAAAAATAAGTATCAGAGTTTTAGCACTCAGCATGAATCCAAGACAACAGAAAATCAAAAAATGTCCGCCTTGTGTTAATCCTTTTATGACGAATAAAATTAATCACTATCAAACCTCTTGCACTTTCAGCTCACAGACACTCCAGACTATTTCTAAAAAGGTATCTAAGGTGCCACTTGTTTTCAAGATCTCTAAAAGCAAAAATTAGCAAAACTTTGCTGGTGTTAGGTAAAATTATTATAACAAATTAGCCAAATTCATAAAGATATGAAAATTCTGTTAGCAATTACATGTGAAATAATGGCATATATGAGTAGCCCAGGGCTTGCATGTTCTTACTCTTGCTCAGTCTCTTTCTGCTGCCGTGTTTATTATTTTTTGCAGGCTAATTGGATGCTATATCGCCATATTATTCTGTAAAACTCTTTGCTCAGCTCTGAAATCTGTGAACTCCTCTCTGAAAGAGCTGGACCTCAGGAACGATATTGTGCAGGATTCAGGAGTGGAGCTGCTCTCTGCTCAACTGAAAAACTTACACTGTAAACTTGAGCTACTCAGCTGCACTTTTTGTGAATTAATCTTTATTAAAAATGACAAACCATAATGAACTATTAATGTACAATAATTTACGTAATTTTTTAAATTAATTTCACAGTTTTAGAATTCTACTGAATCTCTTTCTTTAGCCACCATTGAAATATAAAAACACATGCTGAAAGTATATGCTTTAAAAAAGATGCTTTACCCTGTTAATCTAATTTATCTTGTAAGTTTAACTGTATCATATATTGGCTGGATGGTTGTGGCAGTTACCCTCCTATGCTACTAAACAGGTAGCTTCTACAGAGAGAAAAAGGACAATGACTAGGTTTGCTGTTTTAAATAAGATCACATGGACTGTGTACTTGTGAGTACTTCTGCACTTATTTCTGAACGCAAGGATTGGGTAGAATATAGTAAGTAAAGTAATTACATTATAGTTCCCCTGATTAAACCATGTATTATATTTATGATGACTTTTACAGACTAGACAGGTGTGGTCTTACTACAAATTTCTGTAAAAATCTGTCATCAGCTCTGTCAGATCTCTCTTTTTTGAATGAGTTAGACCTGAGTAACAATGACCTTCAGGATTCAGATGTGGAACTGCTGTCTACTTCAGTCAATTGCTCTCAAAAAAGTTGGGATGGAGCAACAAAAGGTAAACGGTACCAATAAAAACAGCTGGAGGAGCAATTTGCAACTAACTCACATGAGTGGGTATAAAAATAGCATTTTAGAGAGGCAGAGTTTCTCAGAAGCAAAGATCTACAGAACCATCTACAGTACATCATATCATTAAATGATTCAGAGAATCTGGAGAAATCCCTATACGCAAGGGACAAGGCCAACGGTCAATATTCAGTGCTCGTGATTTTCGGACCCTCAGGCAGCATTGCATTAAAAACAGGCATGATTATGTACTGGAAATCACTTCCAGAAATCATTGTCTGTGAACACAGTTCACCACGCAATCCACAAATGCAAGTTACAGCTGTGCCATGCAAAGAAGCCAAATGTCAACATGATTCAAAAACACAATTGTCTTCTCTGGGCCAAAGCTCATTTAAAATGGACTGAGGCAAAATGGAAAACTGTTCTGTGGTCAGATGAATCAAAATTTGAAGTTTTTTTTTGGAAACCACAGATGCCATGTCCTGCTGACTCAAAAGCAGAGGGACCATCCAGCCTGTTTTCAGCACACAGTTCGAAAGCCTGCATCTCAGATGGTATGGGGTTGCATTAGTGTCTTTGGCGTTGGCAGCTTACACATCAGGAAAGGCACTACCAATGCTGAACAGTATATAGAGGTTTTAAAACAACATATGCTCCCAACCAGACAGCGTCTCTTTCATGCAAGGCCTTGCATATTTCAGTAAGATGATACTAAACCACATAGTTCATTCATCACAACAGCATGGCTTCGCAGAAGAGGAGTCTGGGTGCTGAAATGGCATGCAGTCCAGACCTTTCACCAATAGAAAACATTTGGTGCATCATTAAATGAAAAATCAAAAAAGACCCAGGACTGTCAAGCAGCTAGAATCCTACATTAGACAAGAATGGGACAACATCCATCTCCCAAAACTCCAGCAACTGGTCTTCTCACTTCATAGACATTTACAGACTGTTGTTAAAAGAAGAGGGGATGCTACACAATGGTAGACATGGCCCTGTTCCAAGTGTTTGGAGATGCGTTGCTGCCATCAAGTTCTAAATGAGTTCATATTTTTCATGAAATGGTAAAATGTCTTACTTTCAACATCTGATATGTGTTCTATGTTCTATTGTGAATAAAATATCGGTCTATGAAATTTGCGTATCATTGCATTCTGCTTTTATTTACATTTATTTACATTTTACACAGTGTGAAACTGAGGATCACTCTGAGGTTGATATGAACTGTGGAATTATAGGTTTCGAAAGCTGCCATGATTTGGGGTGAACTGGAGGGAGGGGCAGAAGTAGAATGAAGAGTATAGTGTAGTGTACAAGTAAAATGTAGTTTGATTACTTTTTCAGGTAGTAATAAGTAATGTAATCATATTTCATTTTAACAGAACTAATTAGCAACTTGTTTTACATTTTTGAGTTACTAGCCCAACACTAGTGGCCAAAGAATTCTGTTTTTCATCATACATTAGCAAAAAGCACTTGATAGTGATTCGGAGCTTTCTATAAACTGGTAATGGAAATAAATCACTTCAATGTCTGTTATTTCACCGTATAAATATTACGAAGGTGATTCAGAGCATTCTGTAAACTGGTAATGGAGCTAAAACACTTAATAATAATAATAATAATAATAATAATAGTTAAAGTCTGAAGGATGTAATGGTCTGTTTTATTCTTTATTTTAGTTTAGTTTTATCTGGACCGTAAGGTCTGAAGGGTGTTTTATATCGTAATGATCTGTTTTATTCTTTATTTTTGTTTAGTTTTGATTTGATATTAAGTTTAATGAATGTATAAATGTGTGTATTTGGAGGGAAGATGAGGATGAAACCAGGAGTGAATGAATGTAATATGATACTGATATATAAACCTCTCCGCCCCACTGAACCTCCCAGTAACAGCGTCCAGTCAGACTCTCCACACTTAGAACCTGCAGCTGGTAATCAAATCTGATGATCAGTTCTGTTCCTCTCAGACAGAGAGAGATGACTGTTCACTGTGTTTGGATCACACACAGACACACAGATTAGAGGAGACTGATAGAGATTGTGTGTGTGTGTGTGTGTGTGTGTGTGTGTGTGTGTGTACAGATGTGTTTGATCTCACTCTGGATCCAAACACAGTGAATAGTCGTCTCTCTCTGTCTGAGAGGAACAGAAAGGTGGAGTGGTTGAGAGAAGCTTTGTTTGTTTTGTTTATTTCTTTCCTTTAGCGCTGTCCGGGTCCAGAATCCCGCTCTTTTTGACAGCAAGCATATTTGCCGTTTCATAACACTCAATTGTATCCAGATGATCCAGACAGATTTGATTATCAGATGCAGGATCTGAGTGTGGAGAGTCTGACTGGACGCTGTTACTGGGAGGTTCAGTGGAGTGGATGGGTTTATATATCAGGATCATACAGAGGAATGAGGAGGAATGAAGACGGTGAGTCTAAAATGCATTAATAACAGATACTCTGTCTAGCACAAAAAACAGGAAACTGTCCTATCCACCCCACTTCTCCTCTAACAGAGTATGAGTGTATCTGGACTGGGGGCCCGACGTTCTATCCTTCTACACCTTCTCCCCTAACACACACACACACTGACCCACCTACACACATTCACCACCACATTCACTGAGCTGCTCTATGCTGGATTTAGAGTTAATCATTTTAACTTCTCAGTGAGTCTATTTAAGATAGAATAACCTCTACACATAGAGAGAGAGAGAGACAGACAGAGGGGGAGAGCAGGTTTGTAGAAATGTGTTTGTTGTTTATCGGTTTGTTCTTAGATTGTAAATATGAGAGAAATCACACCATTCTGCAATTAAAATATTCAAAATAAATAAAAAGTATATGTAAATCTTGTTAATTTTTACTGTACTAACGTTTATTTGGTTTAATTCTAGTGGTATGTAGATGTAAAAGTAGATGTAAAATCACATTTACTGCTGAGATAAATGGTTTTAAACACTGTGTTACTGGGCTAAAACTTTTTTACAGTACTGGGTATATGCCAAATATATTTCTGTTCGGTAAAATTCAGGTATTTTGGTGTAAAAGCCCTGCGTCAGTGTTGGGGATTTACTCTAAAAGTGTTGATTGACTCATTAATTATTAAAGTACTGCATTACTATATTAATTTACTCCTGGTGGACAGTAATTTGTTACTCTACTCTGTAGGCTAGTTCTGTGTTACTGAGATACATTGTTGCGTAATCACCAGTTAAACCTGACATATGCCCACCTATCAGCAGAGACATCCATCCTAATCAGGAGGACGAGCACGAGTTCTTTCCTTTACGCTCTTTAATAAAGCTCCACAAAGCCAACAGCAGAGCTGGAGAAAACCAACCCAAAGAGCTTCAAAGAGAAACCCTGAGTCTGTTTCTGAGAGATGGAGATTCTGCTGTGGAAACAGGCAACATTTCCTTTATTCAGAATATTTCATGTCTATCAAATTCCTTTATTCTACTTATTACTAGACACTAGTGAGAAAATCTGCCGCACCAAATAAAGCACTTTAGAAGCAGATCAGACATAAAGGAGCAGAAGCCACAACTTGAACAACCTGTTAATCATTCAAATTAAGCAAATGAAATATTAAATTATGTCATTCTAATGATGTCAGACAAGGAATGCACATTTTAGCACTGATGTCATTATTTAATGGTCAACAGTCAGTTTATAAAAAACAGTGTTGTCAAAACACATCTGTAGCTTTTTACCACCATCAGCTCAAATCCAAAACAAAGTGGTCTCAGCCCCACGTGACAGAGGAAACTCAGACAGTATAAACGTGGTGGGCACTGTCCTATCTCAGTGATGTTGGGGGTTTAATATCTTAATGCTAACATCCCACCCTGAATGCAGTCAAGACATTACAGTCAAAACTCCTTTAAAATCCTATTTCAAATATCAAAATGAAGACAACTAAAATCTCTAAAACCAACAGCTTAAAGGCTCAATGCAGTATTTTTTGGTAAGCATTTAACCAGAGCTGTCATGTCGGACCACTCAAAGAAACTACATATATGAACATCTTAATCTTGAATGTTTCTGTTTTGCTTGTGTCCCTCCAAACTCATCAAGATCTTCTGGAAAAATAGAAATTCAGCAGGAAGAGTCAGAAGACTGGAGCTTCAGCGTTGACTAGAGTTTATTTACATATACAGGGTATCATGTATGGGTACAGCTCGGTCGATCAACAGTCTGTCACCAGACTGACGAGAAATACTTTTAGGAGGACCTTATATACATTGAAAAATGTTTGGGAGGAAGAAGAGTAGTTCAATACAACAAAGGAGAGAGACGACAAGGTTAGAGTGTGACAGTTATCATTCTCTAGGGCAGGTGACAAGTATCACTTTTCTACAACAAAAGCCATTTGGTAAAACCCTACAATAAACATGGTTAAGACAGTAAAAAAAAGATGTTAGGGAAAATAACATATGGATAGGATGGAATTAGGGGCACTAGCATGCGAGAACACAGAGTTTGTTGACAGGTTACATCAGGAATAGAGATACCAGGAATATGATTTATTGTTCAATACACCAAGGAATTACATTTCATTTTATGCTTATGTTTTAGAGAAAAAGATGTGGTTTCCCCAAAAACAGTATAAAATCTGGCCTGAAATCACCATTTTCTGCAGACATTTACTCCCAGAAATTGTTATGGTTACATTCATTACTGCCAATTTCCACCACAGCTCTTAGTACACTTGTGTTTTTTCAGAGTATTTAAATGCCTGAAATCTTTCCCACACACTGAACAGTGATACGGTTTCTCTCCAGTGTGGATACGCTGGTGTGTTTTGAGAGCACTCTTATCAGTAAAACTCTTCTCACACTCTGAGCAGTGATGTGGTTTCTCTCCTGTGTGGATACGCTGGTGTGTTTTGAGATGACTCTGTACAGTAAAAGTCTTCCCACACTCTGAGCAGTAATACGGTTTTACTCCTGTGTGAATGCGCTGATGATCTTGGAGATTACGCTGTACAGTAAAACTTTTTCCACACTCTGAGCAGTGATACGGCTTGTCTCCTGTGTGAATGCGCTGATGGTCTTGGAGATTACTCTTTTGAGTAAAACTCTGTCCACACTCCATGCAGTAATATGGCTTCTCTCCTGTGTGGATGCGCTGGTGTGTTTTGAGATTACTCTGATCAGTAAAACTCTGTCCACACTCTGAGCAGTGATACGGCTTCTCTCCTGTGTGAATACGCTGGTGTATTTTGAGAGTACCTAGTACAGCAAAACTTTTTCCACACTCTAAGCAGTGATACGGTTTCTCTCCAGTGTGAGTGCGCTGGTGTATTTTGAGATGATTCTGATGATTAAAACTCTTCCCACACTCTGAGCAGTGATAAGGCTTTTCTCCTGTGTGGATGCGCTGGTGTTTTTTGAGAGTACTCTGTGTAGTAAAACTCCTCCCACATTCAGAGCAGTAGTGATTTCTCTCTTTGCTGTGTTTCTGTGTTTGTCTGTGAGATGCATCCTTGTGGAGGGTACCAGACGATGTTCGCTGAGTCACAGAATGTCTTCTAGATGCCATGTTGTAATATATTGTCTGTTTCAGCAGCTTAACTTTCCTCTTGTTAGAAAGTCCTGACGTGTTTACGGAAGCACATTTAAGCTGAGTGGGAAAGTGCAGAAGACGACATGAAGAGGGACATCATTCAGTTCTAGAAGAAAAAAAAAGAAAAACTCAATATCCAATGCAACAAAATACAAATCAAGACTGCTCCACTTACATCAACTGGCAGAAAATGTAAAGAAAGAATAAACCTCCAGCTTATGTGTATAAATCCAATGTAAAAAACCACACCTTTCTCTGCATAGACAAGGCTCTGGAACACGAAGAGGAGTGAGGAACGCTAGTCGTACAAGGGGAAGGGAAGTCTTCACCTTGCGGTTGACTCCTGTGACCAAAAAATCACATTTTCTCAAAGCTCCCCTCTCAGTGTTACCCATGTCCCTATTTTAAAGCATCAAACTTCTCTTTATATTTATACTTCCAATAGCTTACCTCGGAGGCAGTGTGCATTATGACATGCTCTTCGAGTTTGCTCACTACTTGTTACTGTAATGATATGTGTAGCCTCTCATAAGCTATTAAACTTTCTGATTCTTTGGCCAATGTATAAATACTGCAGTTAGGCCAGCACACTGCCGACTCCATCTCTTTTGCCTTGCAGTTTATCTGCTCTGTGCTCAGAGGCTCAAACGTATTAATAACTGTACCTTCCTTACCAGTCTTCATCTTTATTTCTGTGCCTCAAAACCTGCTTGACCAGAGCTGTCTTGACTGTCACTGAAAGAAAAAACTCCTCCCTGTGAGAACAGGGATGCTTCCTTTTAGCAAGTTTTAGCATCTTATCTCTCTCTCTTGCTTAAGCAAATGACATGTAGTTACCTTGGAATCGGAAACACCATCATTTCATGGGGGTACAAACACCTGGGCCTACATGGGAAACAACATCCCATAAACTCCCCAAGTTGGAAACGCCATCCATTTGCTTACTAGATTATTCTAGGGCATATCTAGGGACACACATATAGACCAAGTCATGTCACCATGCCATGTGTTGTGTTGCTATGTGTGCATTTTTCCACTGAATTTAACTGGATCCTCTGCTTTTCAAGATCATTCAAGAGCTGAAATGAGAATTTGTGTATTTTTCTTTTTTTTGTTCTCAAAGCTTATTTGTCTTATCTATGTCCTTTACAAACAATTCAGAGCATAATACATCCTCCAAACCTCTTAGGGTGTTTACACTTCACAGCTATGGGCTCAGATGAAATTATAGGTAATTGACTCTTACAAAACAAGAATATAAAATATATTTAAATTCCAGCTTTATTCGCTATAAACTTCCACTGTCTGTGATGGCATTAAGAAATGAAAGGTAAGGACAAATATCAAAACCATAGAAACATCTGGAGGACTAAGGAATATCTCTAAAAAAAAAAACAAAAAGGCATGCAGACTGTTCAGTTATGCAAAGTAAACACGCCCATCCTCGCCCACTGGTAACAGGAGGGTATCATGACTGCATGTTTGCATTTCTGAGCATTTTGGTGCTTAGAAGTCATGGTGAAGTAACACTACCAATCTTCTTTAATAATAAACAAACAAACTTCCCCCAGTCCAGAGGGGATAACGGTCACAAAAAAGCTAGGCTTTTACCCATGACAACAGTCACAAAAACACAAGGATTTTACCCATGACAACAGTCACAAAATGCTAGGTTTTTACCAATGACAGTGAATACACTTCCCTCAAAACATATATATTAAGCCAGAATTTCTCTTTAGTTCAAAACTGGTGATTTTACTCACCAAGTAGGTTTCAGTATGCCATCTGTGGCACAGCACCAAGTCAGTAATTCAGCAGAAAGAGTCAGAAGACTGGAGCTTCAGCATTGACTGGAGTTTATTTACACATACAGACAATCATGTATGTGTACAGCGTGGTCAATCAGCAGTCTGTCACCAGTCTGACAAGAAATACTTTGGGAGGACCTTATATACACTGAGAAATGTGGGGGAGGAGTTTGAGGTTGGGTAAAAAGGGGGGTGAAAAAGGAAGATGAAGATGAAAGATTAAGGTGGAGGAAGAGGAGGAGGTTAAGCAGGGGCTAAGGGGGGTATGAAGATGAAAATATAGAAGGAGAGTGACAATTATCATTTTTCTACAATAAAAGGCCACTTTTCCTATAACTCAATAAACATGGTTAAGACCATAAGAAAATAACATAAAAGGAAAAATAATATATGTCAAGAGAATAACATTAGAAAGGAAAATAACATGTGTTGAGATTTTTTTCTCTCAGTATAAATTAAGTGAAGTAAGAAATAAGTTAATTTAATTGCTTTGATCACTGTATTCAAAAATGTTTTTTGTTTTATTTTGTTTTTTTAGGTTTATTTTACCACACAGCTGTGTGGTAAACTCCTGAAGTTACCAGTTTAGTCAAATGTGTTTAACAGAGACTAAACTGCTGCTAAGCTAATGACAGATCAACAGCCCTGAAATATTTATTCTTAAGGGTGGGGGCATGGCTTATTTTTGGTGTTGCTTTTTTTTTGCACTTTTTTTTTTTAAGGTTGGCAGTACATGAAGTTCTGTTTCTGGCTGCTGGGGGCACCCTTCCACAGTAAATCCTGAACTTATTAGTTTAGGATTCAGGGATAACCAATCAAAATTAATCTCTTACCCAAGTCCACAAACTCAGCAATAAGCTGAGGACTTAGTAGCTTGGCTGTGAAACCAGGTTCAACGTGCTTTGAGAGCTTTTAAACAATTTAACAACACTACTGACCAACTATATTAAAATCTACAATTTTTACTCAAAAAGCAATTATTTAGCAGTAATTCCTAACGTTAGTTAAATTTAGTCAGTTGGAAGCCAGCTAGCTACATTATCTAAACAAAACAAAAAATTATATTAATCTAATTTTTTATAAATCTATATAAAAGATGCGTTCAAGGAATGCAGCTCCTTGATCGGCCAGTATGGTCATCTTTGGGGATTAAGAGTTACTAAGAAATTAAATATCAATATTAGCTGGTTTGATTATCTAGAAGATGTTAGTTAGCCAGCTAGCTGACCAATATCTTTTTCTCATGCCATTTTTTTTCCTGTGCACTCTGTACATTCCACTTTCAGCTAATGTGGACACAGCGTGTGATGTCATCCACTTGACCATTGCGAGAGTACAAAACAAAAAGAGCCCTAGGGCATTCACTGCAGTGTCTGGAGAATTCAACCATGTTTCCCTCTCATCATGTCTGCACACTTTCAGCCAATGGACTGCAAGACGAGAATGAGACTTTGGATCTGCTGTATGCCTGTTAAAGAAGCATAGAAATCAACAGCTCTCCTCCCACTTGGCCGTTCAGACCATAAACTGGTTCACCTCAACCCTGGTTCAGAGACAGGCAGTGACCACAAGGACAGTGAGGAAGTGGTCACCTGAGACTGCAGAATCACTGAGGGGCTGTCTGGAGGCTACGCAATAGGATGTCCTGTGTGAACCACATGGGGAAGACATTGATGCAATAACATCATGCATCACTGACTACATCAACTTCTGTGTGGACTGAGAGTACAACTTCTGTTGTACCCTCCAAGACTGTCCAGTGCTTTCCCAACAACAAACTCTGGGTCACCAGTAACAAAGTCTCTGCTGAACCAGAAGAAAAGAGCATTTATGGCAGGAGACAGAGAGGAACAAAAGAGGGTACAAAAAGAGCTTAAAACCTCAATTAAGAAGGCCTAAAAGGAGTACAAGCCCAAGCCGAATGCAAACTAGAGCTGAATAACACTCGGGATGTCTGGAGAGGCCTAAAAGACATCACTGGCTTCAACCAACGCAGCCCTATTCCAGCAGTGAGTAAGCGTGAATGGGCAAATCAGTTAAACCAGTTCTTTGTGCGGTTTGACAGTGGTTCCTCTCCTGCTCCATTGTGTCTGTCTCCCACAAAGATTAACACACCTAAACAACTATGCCATGGGCCATCCACAGCCTCACCGTCCTCCACCACAGCCATTCACACTTATGACCATCAGCCACCACTGACTGCAATGGATGCCTCTCACCCACCCCCCACAATTGGAATGTCCAGTGATAGTACATTCACTGATTAGGTGACAAAGGAACTGAAAAAACCCAAGCAGAGTAAAGCAGCTGGACCTGATGGCATTGAAACTAGAGTACTGAAACTGTGTGCAGAGCAGCCTTGTGGAATTCTTCAGCACATCTTTAATCTGAGCTGCAGCCTGAAAAGAGTCCCAGTTATGTGGAAAACATCTTGTGTGGTTCCCGTCTCCAAGAAAAGGCAACGATAGCACTAAATGATTATCGACCAGTTGCACTGACATCCCACTTAATGAAGACACTCGAAAGGCTGATGCTAGCTCATCTGAGACCTCTGGTCAAAACAGCTCTCAACTCTCTACAGTTTCATATCAGGATGGCATTGGAGTGGGTGATGCAGTTACCTACCTGCTAGACAGAATATCCTCTCATCTGGACACATCAGGCAGCATTACTGGATTTCTCCAGTGCATTCAACACCATACAGCCTGTGCTGTTAGGGGAGAAGCCACAGCTGATGCGACTGCAGGGCTGTGTCTTAGTCGAGGCTGTGTGCAGTGTTGGGGCACCCCAGGGGACTGTGTTAGGAAGTCCAAACCTGCCTTGTCACCAGTCACTATTGATGGAGTTGATGTGGAGGTGGTGGGGACCTACAAGTATCTAGGTGTGCACTTGGAAAACAAACTAGACTGGAGCTGTAACACTCTAACGGTGTACAAGAGAGGCCATCTCTACTTCCTGAGGAGGCTGAAGTCTTTTGGTATACGCACTAAGCTCCTATGGACATTCTACCATTCTGTTGTAGCGAGTGCTTTATTCTGTGCTGTTGTGTTCTGGGGCAGCAGCATTAACAAAAGTGCTCTGAACAAAATAAACAAACTTATTAGGAAGGCTGGCTGTTGTTGGAATCAAGCTGGACTCTCTGGAGGTTGTGGCAGAACAAAGGATGCTCAACAAGCTGCTGGCCATCTTGGACATCTCACACCCCCTGCCTGCTACACTGGATAAACAGAGAAACACATTCATTGGCAAACTGTTACAGCTCACTGTTTTACAGAGTGCTGTGTAAGATCTTTTTTACCCACTGATATAAGGCTCTACAACGAGTGTCCTTACTGCAGAGATGGTACTGATCTCCTGCTGTCTGAACTGAGCTGAACCACCTCACTATATCATCTCTCCTGTTAATACACACTGTGCAATATATCAACTGCTACTGTAATGACTCTCACTGCACACTTTACACTGTAATATTGCTGCAACTCCTAGTTATGTCTATACTCATTGTGCTTTCAGACTACTCATACCACTTAGTGCCTGCTATCATGTAAATACAACATATATGCCTTATATACTATGTAAATATGCAAACAGAGATTTTATTTGTACTCTCATACTTTAACTTATGTCTAATTTTTGCATTTCTATGTTTTGTATTTCTATTTTTTATTTTTTGCACAGTGTATGTAAGTAAATGTGCAATTATATATCTTGATACTGAAACACTGCAACTTCCCTTCTGGATCAATAAAGTCATCTATCTATCTCTCTATCTATATCCAGCTTTTATTTTGTTTTTTTTTTTTAAACCTGGGCCAATATCCACCACATCAACACCCCAAAAACTCTTTTCCTTTATATTATTATTTATATTCACAGTTTATGATGGTGTAGATGTTACAGGACTTTAGTGGTGAAGCTGTGTACCCTACACACCCATTAGCCCCGTCCTCCAAATGCCCAAAAGACCCAAGTGAAGAAACAATGGGTGGTGATGAAAGAAGTAGCAGGATGAATTCTGAAGCCTTTAGAGGTACATTTTCTGCTCAGATTCAGTCAAATGCTGCAAAAGTGATAGGACAGCACTTTGATGGACTGTTCAGTCACCTGACTTCAACTCAACTGAGCAGGCTTTTCACTTACTGAAGACAAAACTTCAGGCAGGAAGACCCACAAACAAACAGCAACTGAAGGTGGCATCAATAAAGCATCTCAAGGGAGGAAACTCAGCGTTTGGTGATGTCCATGGGTTCCAGACTTCAGGCAGTAATGAACTGCATCCAAATATTAAAAATAATCCTTGTATTTATAATAAAGTTAATTTGTGCAATTACTTTTGAGCCTAAAAAAGTAATGCAATAATTTTATTAAAGTGCTTGAATTATAAATGTCTAAACTTCAATCAAATCATGACAGCTGAAATGTAAACATAAACGTTCAGCAGAAAGATACAGATGTGAAATAGAATGACTGTGCAAACTGATCATTATCACAAACAATCACAGTCAGGAGATTATGTACTAATTGTGAGAGGTCTGGTCTAGACAAGAATTCTCCGACCATGCAAAGACATTCGTACATTTTACATTCCTAAAACAAAGATCCACTACATCACAAATTAACTAAAGCCTATTATTATTTTAATACCTAAGTGTTTACAATTATTCAGTTTTGCATGTTTGCTACAAAAACTCTGTGCTGTTGCCCGGCCTCTTTGTTCACAGCTCTCACACTACACCCCCTCTAAACAGACCACCTCAAACACCCACTATAGACACACCTACCAGCTCTTAATCTATCAGCCATTGACCTGCACCCCCCTCCCAGACATTCAGAGCTCTCTGGAAGCACTTCATATTATTCTAGAACAAACTACTACTTATTCTCCACATTTGTAAATATAATGGACTCATTGATATTTGATGATGAATTTGATAGACTTTGTTTATATTTAGTTAAACCAGCTAGAAGCAATTGCTAACAGCAGCTATTATTCGAAACTGGCTAACAACTGTTACCAGAGATTTTTATACTCATGTCTTTAAAAGGCTGGTGCTACAGGCAAAACAACAACAACAACAACAACAACAACAATGTAATTTCTCTATCAACTCAGTATAAACAGCTAAAGGTAGTGTAAAGTCTACTTGTGTTTAAGTTCACCTCTTTAATAAAAGAGTAATAAAAGTCCCAAAATACAGCGAATTTCACATAATTCACATTCTGAACGTCAATGTATTCAATTCGTGTCATTATAAAACACCATGGACCTGTAATGTAGAGGATCAGGTTCAACCTTAAAAAGACTCATTACAACCACAACACATTACTAGTTTGGTTGAGTCATTTGCTACAGAATAAACACAAATTTCAGTGACATAATAATCCATATCTTACAAATAAATACCAAAAAAGCCAGTGTATAAATCCACTTTAAGCTTTGTGTATTCTTATAAAAACACCTCCATATCATACACAGAAAGGGAAAAGCCACATCTGCTGCTCCTCAGACATACAGCTCATTTACAAACCACCATCTGAGACACCCAAACACACAAATTAAGATATTTACATTAACTATCTGAATATTTCAGACGGTAGACATCAATAAACACAGCGTGAAGAAACACATAAGTTCCCCAAACCCGGTCACAGCAGCTCCTCCTCTAAATCACTGCAGGATGAGCAGCGTTTCCATCAATGAGGCTCTAACAGACATTTAAAGACCCTCATCAGTCAGTTAGACCGACATATAAGGACTGAAACCAGCTTAAAGCAGCACTTACAGCTCTTTAATCTCAGACTGAATCTCCGTTTCAGAGTCTCCCCCAAACACAACGCGCTGTGTGAAGACAACAACAGTAGCGAGCGGAGTCCCGACCACAACCGGGAGGGTGTTTTTCAAAATAAAAGTTCCAAGTCAAGCATGTATTACTCATTCACATTCACACACACAAACACGTATACATACATACATATATGTATATATATATATATATATATATATATATATATATATATATATATATATAATCAGCTGTATTGTTTACTTGTTAAAACAACATATATCCTTAGAATAGAATAAACAAATTCACTAAAAAGTAACAATAATTTCTTATTACACAATACAGGACAGCTAATCAGAACAGAGGACATTTACATACATCTGTAAAAAAGTATTATGAAAATCTTATGTGACAGGAGTTCAACCGTGTGGCAGTTAAGCTGGGTGTTTGCTATTTGTACACTATCCTTCAAATCTAAAGTTATAGAGCAGAGATGATGAACACCTACGCGACAACGTAGGCCTGCCCCTGTTAGTGGAACTGCTGTGGGTCATGTCATACCAAGAGTTGTTTCCTGTGACACAGTCAGTGGTTCTTAACAAGGCTACTGTACCAAGATCTGTATCATCCGTGCCATTAAAAGACAATGCAGTGTGTGCACTATCCAGTGAAGTGGGTCAGTAGACAGACGTGTATCTGGAGGCCAAAGAAGAATGGAAGCAGATGACCTTTTCAAAGAGATTCACAGGGTTAGCATACACTGTGTGGATATTTTTGTCATTCACGTATATACGGTTGAGCACTTCAATAACTACACCTCTTTGTTTCTACACTCTTTGTCCTTTTAATCAGCTCCACTGACCATATAGAAGCACTTTGTGGTTCTACAGTTACAGACTGTAGTCCATCTGTTTCTCTGCATACTTTGTTACCCTGTTCTTCAATGGTCAGGACCCCCACAGAGCAGGTATTATTTGGGTGGTGGGTCATTCTCAGCACTGCAGTGATGCTGACGTGGTGGCAACATGCTAGTGGGGGTTGTGCTGGTGTGAGTGGATCAGCTCTGTGGTGGTCCTGTGGGGGTGTGTGGAGATGTGCTGACTAGAATATCTTTCAGGGGATCCTGTAAGATATTCTAGTCAGCACATCCCTGATCATGCATGATCAGAACATGCTGCATGTATTCACAGCCTTGTATGGCTATATTAATAGAGATCTGCCTAAGACTGATAACAACTTTTGTCAACCCTTCCCTTATTTGTTATCTAGCCAACACCTAGTTTAGGGTATAAAAACCCTCTGTAAGGGGGACTGCTTCAGAGCACGCTTTTTCACTTCACTTTCTGGTCTGTTTCTGATGTGTATCACTTTCATTTCCTAAATAATTTCTATTGCTTATTCAAAACTTGTGATTTTTCTGTTGTCAGAATTTCCACGACAAACTTGGAGTCCCTGGGTGGGCCACACGTTTTCCGGGTCGTCGGAGACAGACGAACTGGAGGACGCTCATGAGATGAAAATAAACTCATCCTTAACCTCAAATAAATTTCGAGTGAAGGCTTTTCGTTGTATCCGGCACCTGGGGATCGCTGTGGCTCACTGACAAGAACCATCTAAAAGGTAGGATCTCTCTAATTTGTTGAAATTCTGAAGTAATATGTGTTCTTGTTGATTGGACTGATTTGTAGAAGTTGTGGTAACTTTTTTATGTTAAAGGGGAATGAGATTCTCCGCCTGTGCGATGGCATTAGGTTGATTTTCCTTGTTTTTGGAAAAAATAAGGCACATGGTTTTGACGAAAACATGTGGCGAGATATATAGAAGTACGCTCTCCACAAGAGGTGTTGACCGCTGTGCACAAGGGAACACTGTGAGTTCGATAATTGAGGTATAATTTAAAAGAGAAATTTTTTTGTATATATCGGTGGTGAAACGAATCCAGGTATTGAATAATTTAATTCTGAACAAAATGGGGGGAAAAAAAGCAAAATAGAGATAAAACCAGAATGTAAAGAAGGCTGTACTTATGTAGGACCTAATATTCTTTTCCTGGGAACAAACTGTGGTAAAGAAAGTTTGAAACAGTTTGATATCTGGGTTAATGCATCTGTTAACGTATTTAATAATGAAACAGTGGAAATATACCTTAGATGTTGCTGGAGAATTATAAATGGAACAGCCTCAGCAGGTGATTTAGACTTTCATCAGAACCTGCAAAAGTCATCTCATAAGGCAAGCAAGTGAAATTTGTAAATAGCAGTTCAGTGGGAAAAACAGCAAATATATGTTTGGCACATCTTTTTTAGTCTATCAGTGAATTCTACAGACCTCAAAAACATTTGTTCAGTTCTTCATGACATATGTATTATCCTGTCAAGTAAAAATGATTCAGTTTTGGTAGACAGGAGCAATGCACAAATAAAAAGAACTAACTAGTTTGAATACTTGAAAGCAATAAAAATATATAAGATGATTACAGGACAATAATGAAGAATACCAAATCACCTTTTATAAAATGCTTTGAAGATATTCATTGTCAGGCAACAGATGATATAAATGTAGAAGGCAGTGGTAAAAATGTGTTTTATGTCCCGATGCTTTTAGAGAAACTCTTCACTAACTTTCTGCCTGTTATATCCCTTTGGAGTGATCTCATGTCAGGAAACCTGTCACAGTTCTCATCCTCCTACCCTAATAAAAGTACACATAAAACTGCATCCATTTGTGAGGCATACAAAAAATAACAAATCATTATTTCTCAACTACTAAAAGCCACACATTGATCAATGCATTGATCAAATTCATGTGTTATATTAAGCTAAAGGGAGAAAATTCTGTGAGAAACTTCATGTAAAAATAAACAGAAAAGAGAAATGTAGCCGTCAGAGGAACATAGGCAAAAGAAAAGAACAATACCTGGACATCTGCGTAGAACATTTTACAAGCCACCTGTAGCAAAATATTCAAAATGAACCAAAAAATTATTACAAGCATGAATGAAAATATCACAAAAGAAATCTGCAAATTTTCAAATAATTTCCAGGATTGATGGTTTAATGCCACTCTGCAATGTATTCTGAGTCTTAATGTTATGAAAAGTTCACTGCAATCCCACAGAACACATAAAACAATTAATATGCCACCAATAAAAAAAACACCTGACCAACTTATTACGTTCAGCAATACAAAACCCTAGAAAAATATTTAGTAAAACTACATTAAAAGAAATATTAATGGAAATTGAATCAATGATTCCCTCACTGAAATTTATCCATCAAAATGACCCTCTCAATTGAATATATCCACTGATGACTTGGTTGAACGATTTAAGCATTAAAACACGTGTCAGCATTGAAAACAAGGATTTGTGTAATGTTCGCTCTGAGTATTTCTAGGTGATTTACAAAGTGATTGTCATTTATGTCCCTCGACAGATCCAAAGAAAGACTTCTCTTGAGCAGCTGTTTAAAAAGGTGATATTAGAACCAGAGTCAGTCGAACAGTGTAAACCCTGTTTGAGCTCTATGACTTGATACTCTGAATGGGTCACATCTTCAGATATTCTAGTTTTACATGTACAGAGAATTCTTAATTATGAAGGCAAACTTTCAAGAACACAAATAACACCTTCACTGTTCATAGAACTGCCAACTCATAGACTTAAATCCAAAAGTATTCGATATAAATTGTGTGCAATTATTACTGATCAGTGCTAATGTGCAACAATCAGAAAATATGTACAAATGATTCTATATTACATCCAGATAATAGCAGAAATTATGAAACTTAAGGGATTATTTAATTATATGAATAAATCAGTTCATAGGGTAACACACAGAGTAAATACCTGGATAGCAGAGTCTCAGAATGTCAGATATCTAATGATGTGTCTGTGCCTAGTCTAGCAAATGAATCTCGACTGAAATTACAGCACAGTCTATTTATTCCTACATTGACCACTTTGAACAACAAACACTTTCAGGGACATTTTTTATCAAGTGATTTGATGTACATTCATGTTTTGTCTTTGTTCAGCTGCAATTTATGCAGTAAAGATGCAGCTCTATATAGCAGAAACAACAAAATCCTTATGTTACCAACAAACCTGATTACATCTACAGGACTTGAGGTTTCACTGAAATCATTTTCTAAAATTACAAAGTGTAACAAATGTGGACAAAACGATTCAGTGTATATTATAAAAAAATTAACCATTCATTGCCCTAAAGCACTACTTGTCATATCAGAGCAGTGGAACTTTAATACAGGACAAAAAATAACTTTGTCTTTAGTGTTTAATAATAATATTTCCAAAATTGGAGGCATTATCTCTCTCAATGAAAAACTGCTCTTACAGATGCCGACTTGATCTTTTAGAAGAAAACGTAAATGGAAAAAGGTGCTGATGTGCCCATCCACATTTGCAAGTCAACAGCTTTGCAGTTTATGTTGTAAGGACATTCTGTCAGATGCTCCAAAATTCAAAAGAAACTGGTGGAGATTTAACACTGTAGTTATTCCAGTTAATATAGGCTCTGTATACTGAGTTACTGCTGTTTTCAATATAACACAAAATCTGTTAGACAAAAAAATTATTGATATCAACATAAAAATCTTAGACTCATTAAAATCATATGAACAGGAAATTATTTAAGTTCTTGCTAAAATACAAAAAAATATGCCTGTCCAATATTTTGGCATTACATGGAACAATTACAGATGTGTCTTTACAATATGAATTTTATCACAATGCCCCCATTTTCTGAGAGAAATGTGTGGCAGCAACTGTGGTCTTTATGTGTGCTTCTTCATAAAGGCAGTGTCATTCAATGTTCCACTAAATCCATTTTGCAAGAACCGAATGAGAGATTATCTGTTGTATGAATTTCTCCATCAAAATATATTACAGTGAATTCTTAAATCAACACAAAGTCACAGAAACACAGAAAAGAAACACATTCTGCTTGAAGGAATTTACACCACAGCTTTATTATTTAAAACTCCTTGAATTTACTGTATAGTTGTGACGCTTGTTTAATATAAAATCATAATGTGTCTTATAACATTTTTAGAAAGTAAATTACTAACATGCCTT